ACATCGGCGGGAAATACGCGGAAATCGGTGGAAAGGCAAAAAAACTTTTGGAACTTGCCTGTGTCGCTTGAACAAATTGCTGACTGGGCAGCAGGCCTGCTACGTGGCGCTCATGAAAAGTTGGTCAGGAATAGTGCTCAACATGGTAGTTTTGATGACCGTCCCCAGGCTAAAAAGGTCTAGAGTGCGCAGGCTTGGATTGATCATGGAGTTGCTGAGGGCCAAATAGTGGCCGGCGAGCCACCATGGAGAGGTCAAACCGAAATTCACGTATGTTTTTGGTAAATCTGTGTTTTCCAACAATTTCCGTTGGTTTTGCTAACTAAGGGACAAGTTGGGAAGTTGTTCTCAAAGAAGTTCTAGGTATACCAACCCCTTTTCTTGCCAAGATTCAAAAACAAAAAGGTGATGCCGTCCTGATAAACATTGACTTTCATGAACATGTTGTGGCAAGAAGGGGAATTGGTGCTCCTGCGTTCTGTGTAAAGGGAGCCAGGTATTAGGCTCAATGACTGCTTAGCTTCAAATTAGAATCAGTTGGAATGGAAGTACAGTTCGCGCCATTTCACGCCTTTTCAGGTGGTCTAGCCTCCGAAAGTGTCTGGACGTGCATCCTCTGAATTGGGCCTGCTTCCACAAGAGTCAAAGCGCAACACACCGCATCCTGTGCACAAGAGCCCTTTTTCCACCGGTCGCCCTTCAATTCAATGTTCAAAAGGGGTGTTTCCCTGTTTCCCCCAACGCAATGCTCCAAAGCGGCTCTGAAGACAGGTCCAAGATCTTCCGAGGTCGCCTCGGCAGTAGGTGGTCTTTGTATGAACCACTTTTCGCAGGGTTTCACCCATCCCAGGTGGCGAAACCGGGTTTGACCCACCAAGAGCGAGTGACATGATCCTGGAAGAGCGAATCAGGCCGAAAGGCTTCAACCTTGCTGCGGTTACATTAGCACAATATCAGGTGGGCCTGACTGCCGATCCGTACGAGGGTGGTTAGTCACCCCAAACATGAAAATTCAAATAGCAGGACTCCTGTTGGCGTCCCTCAACAAAAAAAATCCGGTGCTCACCCCAAAAAAAAACAAACAAAAAAACGACGCACCCATATCTGTTCTCCCGGCATAGCCGTGTGGCATCAGTTCTCCCATGGCCCGGCTTCGTGTTCGCAGCTTCTGGCGTCTGCATCTCGCATGGGCAGACTCATCAAAAGGTGTCGGTTGGCATTACGCAGTTGTTCAGTGACCCTGGGGAAAAAAAGAACCAACTTTTTGGGGAAGACCATTCTTTGGTGGGGCAGCCACCAAAAAACGAAGGGGAAAAACGGTGCCACTGAACAACTGAGATTCTCTTATAGTTTGTTTGGCAATTGGCCGGTCGGTGGCCCACTGACGAATTTGGATGCGACGGTTGGTTTGATCGTTCTACCTCGTTGTAGATCATGAACTGGCGCGCTGATTGCGTTTCTTGCTGAAACAAAAGCATAAGCTCAAGCCTTGAACCAAGGCCAATGCTTGCATTGAATCGGGTCATTGAACATTGCTCCGAATGTCTCGTAACCCTTTGGTGTCACTTGTCCCCGGGATGCTCTCTGAAAGTTCCATGGCCCACATCAGCTTTGGCCAACTGACACAATGAGGTTTGGCCGTCGCACACATGGCCTGTGTCACAACCAACGTCTTTTCACCCACCGTCCTAAGCTCACACGGGCAATCCGAGTCAATCCGGGGCTCGAACGCTCCAGGCGGCGACTGGGTCCAAGGCAAGCGACAAATCCATGGGACAAACGTGGTTGCTCCCCCCTCCTTTGGTGAAGCATGGCTTCCCCTCGGTTTCTAACACAGGTCGGTGTTTTTACTTTAGGCGCGGGGGTTGGCTTGTTCTCCTGCCCAAGAGAATTGCATAAGGAGCCCCACTCCACTCTACCTAACAAGCTAAGGGGACCGCTGCGAGCCACCACGAAACGACAAACAACCACATGGGTGATTGCAGAATGTTGAGGGTGCCCTTGAACAACGGTTGCCCACCAACAGTGTGTGCGATGGGTTTCAGAGGGGAAGGAGCCGGAGCTTTCAGCGAAGGGACCCTTTGCTAGACATCAGAACGCACACGGGGATGTATGTCCACCAACCGCTTTCCAACAATAACAAAAAGTCCTAGCAAGACTGGCCTGGCATACTCATGGCAAGCCAAAAAGCCAACTACACGTCCCCAGCAAAAGCAACAAAAAAAGGGCCATGGCACTCTCCCATGACGAGCACGCCACACTTCCCGAGCACAGAAATGGGGGGCCTGGCCCTTTTTATGGGGAAGCCCTTTTGGTTGGTTTCAAAGGGAGCCCATAACATGATGAGGTTAGGCCCAGGTACAGAATGTATACTTTATTGTTTGCTTCACTTTGAGTCGCCGGCAAGCCTACCCCAGACAAGGAAGCCGGAAGCCATCCCAGATGTTCCCAGGCCACTGTGGCATCGGCCAGGTGCGCCAAGCGATGCAGCGCAGTGACCTCGTGAAGTTGGGCTGAGCCAGTTGAGGCGTGGAAGCCTCCCAAGAAACCAAAGGACCATGTCCACGACCATCACGGGCTTGTATCCTCCATTTGCTTAAGCCCCCTGGAACAAAATAAACATATTCCCAATAGTGATGGATTCTCGTTAAAACCAACGGGGCAAAACAACATATTCTCAAGCAAATGGAAGTTATCCTGTTAAAGATGGTGGGTTGTCCTGTTCAAGATCGCTTGGTTGACCTTGGAAGGAATATGTTTTAGCAGTGAATGCTGGACCCTCTTTACACAACCCCCCCCCCCCGCTAGGAGTGGAACCAGTCAGCGGGACCCTCTTTAAGCGAGATCCTGGGGGTCTGGGAGGGACAGTACTTACTTTAGTATTGCCAATTCTACTTTAGTATTGCCAAGGCTGGCCCTCAGATTCCCAGTACTTACTTTGGAATTGCCAATTCTACTTTAGTATTGCCAAAGCTGACCCTCAGATTCCCAGTACTTACTTTAGTATTGCCAATTCTACTGTAGCATTGCCAAGGCGCCAATTCTACTTTAGTATTGCCAAGGACCCTTTTTTTCAGCAACCCCCAAACAGGTTAGACACTAAAGAGGACCCCAAAACAGTCACATTAAAGAGGATCAGGGCCCCTAGTGGGCACCCCCCTTTGTGTGACTGTTTGCCCGTACTTTGTTGTAAAGAAGTTATCTTAAATTTGATGGTTTGGGGACCACTTCAAAAATCCTGTTTGCCCGGAATTGTTTGCTCGTTTTTTTGCTCGATTTTTTTGCCAAGTTTGTTTGGCCCGTATTTCCTCGGAGGCTTAGTCCCAGACAAGATCAGGAGAGTAAACAACAAAATATGTTTTTGGATCTTTTCGGGGAAACAATTGCTGCAATTGAGGACCCCAAAACAGTCACACAATCCTGAATTGCGAAACAAAATTTCTACAATAGAGGGGGCTACTAATAAAGGAGGTGTAACATTAAGTGGGGATTTCAACCACTAAATCACAATAAGCCAAAGTGTGAAATGTTTGCCAACACCAACCATGATCGTGGGGCGCAGCTTTTGTCCTGTTGGAACATCGTCGGGAATTGCTTCTTTGCCTCTTTGTACACATCCAAAGGAAGTGGGGAAAGGCTTCAGTTTTGAAATGCACCAGCCTTCCAAGCATGACCTAGGGGTTGGGGGCCCTGCTTTTCCAATACCCCCTGCTTGTGGCACAGTTCGGGAGTCAACAAAACAGCTTTCTTCTTAGGTAAATTTTGGGGTGACTTGAAGGACACACCCAAAACCCACCCGCGCTACAAGGAATCGGATCCTCGAAATCTCTGTTTCCAATACTCCTGCTCCTGACACCGTGCATTTACCCCGTGGCTTTGAAGTGAACAAAAAGCCCAGCTTGGGGTCAAAACCGGTGTCTTCTTGGGTGAATGTTTGGGGTTTCTGTGGTTCCTTAAAGGATACATCCATCGTGGCAAATCTTAAATCTTTTGTGGGGTCCTGGAAGACCATGTTCCTTACGGGAAAATGGCCCCCGAAGCTCGGATTGAGTGTGATGGGTGGGATCGAGGGTGCCTACCACATCCCAACTTTTGGCTTGGGAAGCTCCAAGGCACAGGCATAACGTCCATTTGCTTCTCGCCCCCCAAAAAATACCAGTGGCAAACTCCCTTTAAAAACCAACAGGGGAAATTAACAAACTATTCTTGAGCAAATGGAAGTCCGCCGACAACAGGCGGCGTGTTGGACATAAGAAATGCTCCTTACCTCTTTACCTGTTACCCCTCCCCTAACCCCTCCCCAGGCGCAGACTATTGCGGGGGGGGGGTCCACGTACCACGCGGTGATTCGAAGACGCTTCACTAAATCTGTTCATTGTGCGGGCTTGCGCAACTCAGTTTGTCAAAAACATTGGGGTGTTCGATTCCCCCCGGGTGCGCTTTCGCATCCTTAGCAGCTCCAGCGGCACATCGCCAGCATCACCTGCATCATCCGCATCAGCGCCTGCCAAGGATGCGGATGATGCAAGTGATGCTGGGGATGTTGCCTATGCTGGTGAACCCCCCCCCAGTTCCTTGTTGAGATCATTTATTTCCCCCCTTTTCCTTCTAAGGCCTTTTCCCACCCTCAGTTCTTCTCCCTTTTCCTCCCAAAGATCTTTCCCCCCCTTTCCTCCCTAAGTCCTTTTCCCTGAGTTCGTCTCCCTTTGCCTCCCTAAGATCTCTTCCCCCCTTTCCCGCTTAAGATCCTTGCCCCCGTTTCCCCCCTAAGGCCTTTTCCCCCCAAGATCTCCACCCTTCTCTTCCCAAAGTTTTTTCTCTCTTTCCCGATTGAGATCCTGTCCCCCGATTGCCCCTTAGGGCCTGTTCCCCCCGAGAAAGATTTCCCTTTTCCTCCCAAAGATCTTTTCCCCCCTTTCCCTCTTAAGGCATTTTTTCCCCAGATCTTCTCCCCCTTTCCTCCCTGAGATCTTTCCCCCCCTTTCGCTGTTGAGATCCTTTCCCCCTTTCCCCCCTTCATTTCCAGATCTTAGGGAGGAAAGATCTGGGGCAAAAAGGCCTTAGGGGGAAAGGGGAGAAATGATCTCAACAGGGCAAGGGGTGGAAAAGATCTTCGGGAGGAAAGGGAGAAGATCTGGGGAAAAAAGGCCAACAGGGAAAGGGGGGAAAAGATCTTAGGAAGGAAAAGGGAGAAGCTCTCAGGGGGGGAAAGGCCTTGGGAGGGAAAGGGGGGAAAGGATCTCAACAGGGAAAGGGTGGGAAAGATCTTAGGGAGGAAGATCTAGGGAGGAACCCCTAAGATCTTCCCCCCTTTTTTTTAAAGATCTTTCCCACCCTTTCCCTGTTGAGATCCTTTCCCCCCTTTCCCTCCCAAGGCCTTTCCCCCCCCTGAGAGCTTCTCCCTTTCCTTCCTAAGATCTTTTCCCCCCTTTCCCTGTTGGGCTTTCCCCCCTAAGTCCTTTTCTCCCAGATCTTCTCCCTTTCCTCCCTAAGATCTTCCCCCCCCCCTTTCCTTCCTAAGATTGTTTCCCCCCTTTCCCTGTTGAGATCCTTCCCACCCTTTCCCCCTGAGGCCTTTCCCCCCCTGAGAGCTTCTCCTTCCTTAGATCTTTCCCCCCTGTCCCTGTTGGCCTTTTTTCCCCCAGATCTTCTCCCTTTCCTCCCTAAGATCTTTTCCACCCCTTTCCCTGTTGAGATCATTTCTCCCCTTTCCCCCCTAAGGCCTTTGCCCCCAGATCTTCTCCCTTTCCTCCCTAAGATCTTTCCCCCCCTTTCCCTGCTCAGATCCTTTCCCCCCTTTCCCCCCTAAGGCCTTTCCCCCCCTGAGATCTTCTCCCTTTTCCTCCCTAAGATCTTTTGCCATTTTTCCCTGTTGAGATCCATCCCCCCTTTCCCCCCTAAGGCCCTTTCTCCCTCTGAGTTTTTCCCTTTTCCTCCCCACGATGTTTTCCCCCCTCTCCCTGTTGAGATCCTTTCCCTCCTTTCCCCCCTAAGGCCTTTTTTCCCCCGCGATCTTCCCCCTTTTCCTTCCTAAGATCTTTTCCCCCCTTTCCTTGTTGAGATCCTTTCCCGCCCTTTCCCCCCTAAGGCGTTTTCCCCCCCAAGATCTTCTCCCTTTTCCTCCCTAAGATCCTTTGCCCCCTTTCCCTGTTGAGATCCTTTCCCCCCTTTCCCCCCTAAGGCCTTCCCCCCCCTGAGATCTTCTCCCTTGTCCTCCCCAAGATCTTTTCCCCCGAGATCTTCTCCCTTTTCCTCCCTAGGATCTTCTCCCACCTTTCCCTGTTGAGCTCCTTTCCCCCTTTTCCCCCTAAGGCCTTTTCAGATCTTCTCCCTTTCCTCCCTAAGATCCTTTGCCCCCTGTCCCTGTTGAGATCCTTTCCCCCTTTCCCCCCTAAGGCCTTTTCCCTGCCTGGGACCTTCTCCCTTTTTCACTGAGATCTTTCCCCCCCTTTCCCTGTTGAGATCTTCCCCCCCCTTTCCTCCTTAAGATCTTTCCCACCCTTTCCCTGTTGAGATCCTTTCCCCCCTTTCCCTCCCAAGGCCTTTCCCCCCCGCCCATGAGAGCTTCTCCCTGTTCCTTCCTAAGATCTTTTCCCCCCTTTCCCTGTTGGGCTTCCCCCCCCTAAGTCCTTTTCTCCCAGATCTTCTCCCTTTCCTCCCTAAGATCTTCCCCCCCCCCTTTCCTTCCTAAGATTGTTTCCCCCCTTTCCCTGTTGAGATCCTTCCCACCCTTTCCCCCTGAGGCCTTTCCCCCCTGAGAGCTTCTCCTTCCTTAGATCTTTCCCCCCTGTCCCTGTTGGCCTTTTTTCCCCCAGATCTTCTCCCTTTCCTCCCTAAGATCTTTTCCACCCCTTTCCCTGTTGAGATCATTTCTCCCCTTTCCCCCCTAAGGCCTTTGCCCCCAGATCTTCTCCCTTTCCTCCCTAAGATCTTTCCCCCCCTTTCCCTGCTCAGATCCTTTCCCCCCTTTCCCCCCTAAGGCCTTTCCCCCCCTGAGATCTTCTCCCTTTTCCTCCCTAAGATCTTTTGCCATTTTTCCCTGTTGAGATCCATCCCCCCTTTCCCCCCTAAGGCCCTTTCTCCCTCTGAGTTTTTCCCTTTTCCTCCCCACGATGTTTTCCCCCCTCTCCCTGTTGAGATCCTTTCCCTCCTTTCCCCCCTAAGGCCTTTTTTCCCCCTGCGATCTTCCCCCTTTTCCTTCCTAAGATCTTTTCCCCCCTTTCCTTGTTGAGATCCTTTCCCGCCCTTTCCCCCCTAAGGCGTTTTCCCCCCCAAGATCTTCTCCCTTTTCCTCCCTAAGATCCTTTGCCCCCTTTCCCTGTTGAGATCCTTTCCCCCCTTTCCCCCCTAAGGCCTTCCCCCCCCTGAGATCTTCTCCCTTGTCCTCCCCAAGATCTTTTCCCCCGAGATCTTCTCCCTTTTCCTCCCTAGGATCTTCTCCCACCTTTCCCTGTTGAGCTCCTTTCCCCCTTTTCCCCCTAAGGCCTTTTCAGATCTTCT